CAGGATATATCTGCAGAGAATATGCTTTGGTATTTCAATATTATCATACTGCAGACACACGGGCTAAATTATGTACACATGGGCTGAGAGCTAGAGGTTTTCACTAGGTCCTCCAAATATTTAAAAAAATACATAAAAATAACTCTCAAATATCCTTTTTTTTTTTTGAATTTTTATGAGAGTTTGTTTGAGCCAAACTGACAACATACACTAGGGAGCAAGATCTCAACTGTTATTTTTGTTGTTTTGAAAAATCCTTTCACTCTATCTTTTAGGCTGAAAGAGAATGCTGTCTTTCAATATGTTAACAAGCTATGAAGCATTCTACCTAGGAGCTGAAAATAGATTGCCCATGGCTGCTTCTAAGAACGGATCCCAGCAGAGGATACCTTCTGATGATGCTCTTTCTCCATAATAAATTTAATTTTTCAACAATTGGTAATTTCTCTACTGGTTTGAAACTTCGAGTTATCTCATCAGCCTGGCCAACAGATGGCTGTGGCATGTTCTGAAATTCTTAGTCCTTTTCTTTATTACCTGAGTGGTGGGTGAAATGAGATAGACTTTCCTCCTGTTTTTTTTGCACAAATGTTTCAAGCTGAAGGCTCCACGTCTGCCGTGATGCACTACCATTCTCCCTTTCTAGACAGTCTCACAGCTGAGACAAACATGAGAAGTCATTTAACCCACAACCTTATTTCAAACAGGAGGGTACTGAGGCTGGTCAGAGAGCTTAGTACAGACCACGTATAGATGTTATGGCATGGATGCAGAGGGGACTGGATAAATGGATGGATGGATGGATGGATGGATGGATGGATAGATGGATGAGTATAGGATGAGGAATCAGAGGCTCCTCATTCTATTTCTGGCTTTATCAGCAAGCATCTCTTTTCAATCTAGGCAAATCATTTCTTGTCTCTGGGGCTGCTTTCCTTAACCCTATGCCACAATTAGGCCTAACCTCTCAGGTCCCTTCCAGCTCTCACAGTCTTTGCTTTCATGAAAGAAGAAAACTTTTCAGAACGATTTCATTTGGCGATGCCAGGACTATTTTACCAGAATTGCCCAGGATCCATAGACCATGATGATAGAAAGGCTATGGGAGGTCTTATTAATCCATAGATTTGACATTGTCTGGGCGTCCTGACTTATATTCAGTGACCTCTTTTAACATTACATTAGAAAGTGCCTGTGAATTATTCACAATAGCTCAGACCCAAAACAACCTAAGTGTTTATCAAAAGATGAATAAAGAAAATGGTGTGTGTGTGTGTGTGTGTGTGTGTGTGTGTATCTCACTCAATAGAACATTATTCAGCTGTTAGAAAAGAAGGAAATCTTATGATTTGTTACAACATGAATGGACCTTGAAGGCATTGTACTAAATGAAATGACTCAGACAGAGAAAGACAGATATCACATGACCTCACTTATATGTGAAATCTGAAAACACTGAACTCATAAAAACACAGAGTAGAATGGAGGTTTCCAGGGACTGGGGTGGGGAAGGCGGAAATGGGTGAAGGTGGTCAAATGGTACAAAGTTCAAGTTATAAGATGAATTAAGTCCAGGGCCGGCTGAGTGGCTCAGTTGGTTAAGAGTTTGTGTAAGAGCATGGTCTCTGAGCAACAGGGCCGCCGGTTAGATTCCCACATGGGCCAGTGACGCTGCGCCAGAGCTGAGCTGTCGCTGAGCTGCCAACAGGTGGCAGGATGGCTCAGCTGGTGTAACAACAAGATTGCCTGCTCGATGGTGGGCTATGCCCGCCCGCAACTAAGACTGAACTCGGCACCTTGAGCTGAACTGCTGCCCAGATGACTCAGTGGATAGGGCGTACGCTCTTAACAAGGCTGCTGGTTTGACTCCTGCATGGGATGGTGGCTATGCCTGCCTGCAACTAAGATTGAACACAGCACCTTGAGCTTAGAGGCCACGAGCTGCCGACGGGAAGCCAGAGAGTGACTGGCGCCCTCCACAACGAAGATTGAAGAACAACAACTTGGCTGGTCCCCTTCCCCAATTCCCCAACACTGTTCCCCTCCCCCAACCCCCCAATAAAATCTTTAAAAAAAAAAAAGATGAATAACTCCTGGGATGTAATGTACAGCACAGTGACTATAGTTAACAATACTGTACTGTATATTTGAAAGTTGCTAAAAGTTCTCACTACACACACACACACACACATACACACACACACACACACAGTAACTATGGGAGGGATGGATGTGTTAACTGAACTTATTGTGATAATCATTTCACAACATATACGTGTATCACATCATCATGCTGTAAACCTTAAACTTACATCTGTTATGTCAGTAATATCTCAATAAAGCTGGAAAAAATTAACTTGATCATTTTTTAAAAAGTGGCTGTCAGCAGAGCATCATCAGAAAGAAGTAGTTCCCAGAGTAAGTCACAGCAGTCAAATAAGAAGAAAACAGCGTTGGAACACAAAAGAGGACACAAAACTAGAACGAGCAGCGATGGCCCCCTTTCCATTCACTTCTTAGGGCGAGCAGAACAGCCAGCATTATGCAAGTCACCCTGGGAGTCTGTGCTTTGGAGTTTTTTCTAGAAGTCCCTTGTGAAATGTGAGAATATCTGTCTGGGCCTTTAACACGCCTTTATATCGCACATATACTTAGTAATTTAATTTTCCCCTAGACCCCAAATGCCATTTGGCAGGAAAGAACTCCATAAAAAGGGGTCGCTCTTCGGAGCAAATCCCTTCTGTCTGTTCAAAGCACCCTTCTCAATAATGACTGTTTTTCTGAAGTTATAAAACAGCAGGAAGCAGCATAAACTGTACATACAGGCTGGCCATTACAAACGCACACCTCCCCCCTCTGACTGCCAGTTCTTAAAAGTCACAGTGGCCACCATTTGTTTTCCGAAGCTCAACCACCTCTGCAGTTCTTTGAATGTTACAGGGCATACTGGCAACGGGCCACAAGCTGCCCTTTTTCATGCACGGAGGGAGAGGGGAGAGGGGTGAAGAGCAGACATAGAGGGAAATCAGGGGTCACGTGGTTCAAGCTTCTTCCTCTGGGCAGGTGGGCATGCCTACTGTCCCAGAAACGGCTGCTGCTTCTATTTTTAAAGATAGAGATTCTACAGCCCCCCGAATGAGCCTTTCTAGAAGTTTAATTACCCAGAAAGTCAATTTCCCTGTGTCACAACAGCCTGCCCCCCAACCTGAGCCTTGCTATAATCTAAGCCTGCTTCCTCTGTGGTCCTCCATGGAGAGGCCAAGGCACCTGCTAGATGTCTCCGTTACGTTCAAAGCAGGGTCACTGTCTGTCTCTACTGCGCCATTCCTACTTTGGAAACCTGCGAAGTGCTCACAGTCGTCCCTGGGTTTGGCTGTAACTGTGTGGTCCTGTGCGTGTGGCCTGCTTTTCACACATAAATTGGCATCAGGGGATGTTATGAAGTCCCAGAGTTTCCTGAGTCTGGCCAGAAAAAGTTGACAGGGGAAAAATAAGGTCAGATATGGAGGGAGCCGTGGAGCGCGGCGGCAAATGGCACCAAGGAGGTCGTGGCTGGAACATCATGTCCTGGGCGCCGTCCCTGGTGGGGGGGGGGTGTTCTGCTGCATCTTTCCATGTGGGGGGGCATTAGGGAAGCTGAGGCAGCACGTCGGGTGGTTCTAGAAGACGATTAACAAGCCACGGGGCTGTGGCCGGGACGGCAGGTAAGACTGCTACGAGCTGCACTGATCACAGGATGACGTGTAAACAGTCACGCCCCAGAGGCAAACTCAGAGGCCCCACAGGCACCACCGAGAGACGGTCCTCTGAGGGACTGCGCCCCGGAAGCAGCAGCCAGAGACGCAGGCAGCGGGGCTCTGCTGGGGTCACTGACATTTCCTGAGTGCACTGTCTCTGCCAGGCACACGGCCTCGTCTCGTTCAACCTTACAAAGGAGCTGCCATTAGCCCCTCATTTTGCAGATGAGGAAACTGAGGTTCAGAGAGGCTCCATGACTTGCTAAAGGTGCTCAGTGCCTGAACCAGAACTCCACCTATCTGTTCCCAGAGCCCAAATACTTAACCAGTTTGTTTTACAACCTGGCCTCCCTGCATCTCGACTTTTGGGAATAGCAGGAAGCCCTGACTTTGAATCTCTCTCCCCCTGAGAAGACAGGATACTAACTTTCCATTGGGGACCTGATGCGGTTTGGAGGCACACAGATGCTGGGCAGGGGCTCCCGTCAGCTCCACAGATCTGCAACTGTAACCCAGCCTCCATCCCAGGGAAGGGTGTGGTTTGGAAAAGAGTGTTACTCTTGTGTTTACTCAAAGATAGTCATTAAGTCACCATGAAGACATCTCTCTGCAGACTAAACAACCCCACTCCTTTTTTAAAAAGCTTTCCTCATAGGAGCTATTTTTTTTTTGTACCATCTTTCTATATTTACTGGTTTCCCCTCAGGCGCTCTTCTACCCTCCCATTCTCTATTTTAAACAATCCTGTAATAAGATTTTGATCTGTGCCACTGAAAGAAGATGGTTGTTTTCATAGTTTTCATCTCCAGCCTTAACAAATGAATACAAGGATAGAATGGCTGGTCATTAGTCCCTTGTGGTCCACTCTGACCCTCCGGCCGTTTCGGCCACTGCTGTGTCTGCCCAGTCTTCCACTCGTTGTTTGTTTCTAATCCTGTTGAACTTCACCGTGTATTTGAGGGACTAGTCCTTAGTCTCACGTAGCCCCACATGGTCCTAGCACGCACTTGAATCAGCCTGATTTCTTTCTGCCCTCTAGGAGGATGCTTCGAAAAGAGCCCAGTGCTCAGAGATGGACTTTGAGGAGTGACAGTGTCAATAATAAAATGTTTTCTCCTTGCAAGAGCCAGACAACCCCCTCTGGCAACGGTTTTAGCCACATTTGAGAGCTGCCAATTGAACCCAAAGATTCTGAGATGCTGTCCCTGGTGCCTGAGTGTACCCACCCAGGGGACGCACCAGCCCCGAGGTGGGCCCACTTACTTCGAGGTTCTCGGGGTCCATCCACTGTGATTTTGATGGCTCTGTGGTAAGTGGCAACTTGTGGCGGGTTTGTGAAGACGGTGATGGTCAGAGTGAAGCTTTTCCCTGTAGGAACGCAGAAGAGAACATGAAAGAGTGAGGTGATGGCCCAAACATGCCTGCTGAGTAACTGACCATCCGTTGATGCTTTCCTGCCTCAAACTGGAAAGGTGGCAGTGCTTCAGCCCACGCTATTGGCTTTCTCAGCACGCCCTTGAGTTTGGCTTTGCTTACATTCTGAAACGCACACCTGTGGAGTTTGTCCAGGTGGGACACACCACATAGTCATAGGGCTTTTGTTTAATCATCAGTAGACAACACAGGACCAAGAGAGAGTCGGATTGGTTTTCTTTCAATCGAAGACCCCAGGGGACACAGGGTCGGATTGGCAGCTGTCTACTCCTTCCCCTCCCACTGTCTCCCCTTTTTATAAATGGTGGGGCAAAAAGGAGTGAAAGAAACCATATCCATCCTCCCCTGTGACGTTTTTGTACCTTCAAGGATTAGGAACGACAGAATTCCTAAGTTTGAGGAGAGGCTAAATTAAAATTATTCTCTCTGTATTTCAAAAACATTAATTGCTGGTTGATTTTAAATATTATTCTTAAAGGTTAGATGTTATTGGAGACACGCATGGGATTGGCCAGACAAAATTTATAGTCAATACATGGACTTAAGTATATGTGACTGATAGACTGAGATTCAATAAATGCTATAAACACACATATGCACATGAATTTCCATCTAAACATCTTACTTATACTTATGAAATGTGAGCATATTTTCCTTGCATATGTCTCACACAATGCTTTCAACAACTTTTAAAAAGTTATTCTTAAATTACTTAAAATACATATTTATAACTTATAATTACTAATATATAATTAACAAATATATGAATAATGTAATTATTAATATGCAAATATATTTATTTTAAACATTTCTTCTTGGCCCAATGGTTCAGCAGATGGACTTTGGGTTTAAATTCTGGCTGGATGACCTCTCTGTGCCCCAGTGCCCTTACCTGGCAGATGGGTACATATAACTTTCCCTACCTTATAGGATTTAGGGGGAGGTTAAATGAGTTAATACGAGTAAAACTGTTAAAATAGTATCTGATGCATGGCATTCAAAGGTGTGTGTGTGTGTGTGTGTGCACGTGTGTGTGTGTGCGCTGTGCTCACTTTTATTATTTGCCTTCTCTGTTTTCCATTGTACCATAACAGGATCCTAAGCTTTGACTACGCATGATGTTCAGACCTACATCAATATAATAGTTCTCTAATGAACAGACTTTCTCCTCTTAATCATGCAGCATGAAATGAAACAAAAAAGAAATGAAAGGAAAACATAATATGTTCACCCAGCCGCCTATCTGCTCCCAAAACTGTTTCAAAAATCAAATGGTCTCCCATCCCCAAGTTAGAAAGAGCAGAATATTTTCGGCTGTCATGCATGTTTTGATACAAAAGAAGGCCACAGAAAAATGCTCCATGAAAATACAATGTTTGGCCACAAAACCTCACCAAACAGTCTCCGAGAAATTGAATTCTGTCTATTCAAAGTCTATGATAAGAACAATCCCAAGTGATGGTCTGAGGATGACACCTGCTTTGCCCCGTGTGGCTTCATAACCAAGGTCACAACTGACCTAACAACAGGTGAGTGAGGGGTGCGCACGGGCCAGCACCCTGGAGGATCCCAGGAGGCCCTGCACCCAAGTTCATGTGCCCCACCAGCTGGCCTTCTCTCCTGGAGCCTGGAGAAGAATCCTTCGGGGCTTTAGGGATTTGCCTCTTTAGGACACCCTTCAAATGTCACCAGGCGACAGACCAGATTGTTTTCTCCCCTGGCATCTAGCTGACGCAGAGGGATGGGCAGGAGAGGTGGCAGGCCAAGCCCCGCGAGGAGGGCACAGTGGCACAGTGAGTGGAGGCAAGCACCCAGGATGACGGCCCATCTCGCTGCTCAGCCTGGGGCTTTCTAAGAACTGGTCAGAGGAGCAAAGGCAGCGGCAGCCCTGGGAGCAGCAGTGTCCCCGTGCTCCTGTCATCATGCCGGCCAGTCTGTCCCTTCTCCATCAAGAGCCTACCCGAGTTATGAGCTATATCATCCGTCCTGAAAGCCACAGCCAGCTTTTAGGGACTTCTCACCACCAAGTCCCCTCCCGCCCCCTCGTCCTGCGGCCAGGCTCCTCGAGTCTGCTCACAAGCCATGGCATTTCTGATCTACCTAACAGGCGGGGCGAGGGGTGCAGCGCGCCGGGAGTGAGGCAAGCTGGGGTCTTTCTTCCTCCAGCCCCTGCGCCCGCCATCCTAGCCTCCTGGCTTCACCCCTCACCTCGGTCTTCCTGGCTTCAAAGTGAGGCGCCAGTCACTCAACTACCAGGTAGCTTCCCTGACGACTACCGTTTGCTTTGTGGGGTTTTGGGGCTGTCTCCTAAAGCATTCCTCGCCTTTGATTGATAAGGATGTTGGACTGAATGGGCTTGGCGGCTGTAAAAACCTGAGAGCATGTCCCCTGCAGGAAGGCGGGCAAGGATGAGGGTGGGAGGGGGACTCAGGGTAGAGGGGGCGTTGAAATGGAAAAAAAAAAAAGAAAGAAAAAAGGAAAAACGACCCTGAAGACATAAGCAATGAATAATGACACTGCTCCAGTGACTGAGCCGGTCTGTGTGTGTGTGTGTGCGTGTGTGTGCGTGCATGTGTGTGTGTGTGTGTGTGTGTGTGTGTGTGTGTGTGTGAGAGAGAGAGAGAGAGAGAGAGAGAGAGAGAGAGAGAGGGAGAATGCACATCCATGTGCAGTGCAAGCAGGGGTGGGGTGGGGGGAGCTCTACGTGAAAGAGACTTATATTTGAGTTCGTGTACAAATGATTCCACCTCTCCAGATCTCAGTTTCCTGGTCCGCAAAATGAGGGGTTTCATGGGGTCCCTACAACGTCCCCTTCAGCTCAGATTTTATCTTCTGACAATGCGGCCCTCCGGGGTGCCCATCTCCGTGTGTAGGCGTGTGCATGCCTCTGTGTGAGTCCTCTGTTGCCTGCAACTTTCAGCATTTCGGAGATTCCATGATACTGCACTCGTTTCCTAGGGCTGCGCTAACAAACGACCACAAACCGGGTAGCGGAAAACAGCTGAAATGTATTGTCTCACAGCTCTGGAAACCAGGAGTCCCAAATCAAAGTGTGGGCAGGGCCACACCCCCTCTGAAGGCTCTCGGGAAGAACCCTCCCCTCCTTGCCTGCCCGGCTTCGGCTGGGTGCTGGCAGTCCTGGGCAGCCCTCGGCATAGGAGCATCACTCCAGGCTCTGCCTCCATCATCCCGTGGCCTTCTCCCTGTGTGTCTCCTGTCTCCAAACTCCCTCCTCTTATAATGACACTGGTCACTGCATGGAGGGCCCGCCCTAAACCAGGAGGACCTCACCTTAACTTGATTACACCTGTAAAGCCCCTATTTCTAAATAAGGTCCCATCCTGAGGCCATTGGCGGAAATGAGTTTTTAGGGGACACTATTTAACCCAGTACAAATATCAAATGTTATGAGAGTTCCAGTCTAGGCCCCATGAGTGACAACTGCTCTGCAGGCACCTATGCATTTCACCTATTGAAAAGGTCTGACTCCTGTGGCAGCCTCCTGCAGTCATCCTATTCTAGATTTCCTAAATGACAACAAAGAATCATCGTCTTCATAACACTGGCATTCTGGGGTCTGCAGAACTTACAACTTTTCAAACATGTTCCCAAATACGATTTCATTTGGTCCTCACTACAGTCTCATGAAATAAACAAGATAGATTTCATTGTCCTCAAGTAATAGGTAGCAAAGCCAAGGCTCAGAGAGGTTAAGTAATTTGCCCGAAGTCACACAGCTCAGATACACAGCAAAAGCCCAATCTCCCAGCTTTTTGCTCACTGTTCTTCACATTATTGTCATGAGGCCCTAAATCTCTGTTTGCAAACTCAATGGCATTGGCACTGGGAATCTGGACTTGTGGTACTTTTCCCATGCTCTACCACTGCCAAAAAAAGGGCCAATAGTCCCTGGAATCCTCATGTACCCAAACTGTATTTGTCAGCGAACCGTAAGCCTGGATTACAATTCAAAAGCCGTGTCTTACTGAGCCGAAGTTGGGCTCCTGGCAGTCGAGCGCTTAATGACGCCCCCTGGTTAACCACAGACTGGCCTACTTAATCGGGAGTGAAATTCAACCCAAGTGAATATTTGTGAAACCGTTGCTCACAGTTAAAGTTCTATTATTTTATGCCCATCATCTTAGGTGCAGTCACCAGAAGTGTCTGTCCGGCAAAAGCTACGAGGTGGGGCATTTTGGCCACAGCAAAGTGGTTCACAGCCACGAAGGCAGAGGTGTTCTGACAGCTTCCCTCACGAGGGGCTCTTATTTATAGCGTTGACCAGGACAGCTGCCTGGTACTGCACGGACAGAGGTAACAAGTGACGACATTTTGCTCACAGATGTGTGTGACATTTTTTCTCTGGGAAAACTCTGCCTTCCACTTCCTTGCATTCTTCCGACCAGACCTGGCACCGAACTTGACGACTGGGGACAGTCAGCCAGTGGGCATATGTGACTGACCTCCTGAGGTCCAGGGCTCACTGCCCTCTGCCCCAGCCCCTACCTGCTGAGACACAGCCCGTCTTGGCCAGCACCTGCAGAAATGGTAGCTGTACCCTGGAGCACATGTGTTAGTAGCCAAATTCTCTCATTCAAATAACCTATGGGCCTGGTATTTTAAGTGCGTGGGTGTGGAGAGTGAAAGGCTCTCAAGTGTTTTCCTCAGCAAGCTGTAGCAGACTAGGAAGAAGTCTGGGGAGAGGAGAGGAGAACAGATCAGCTAAAGAACACGCCCCGCTCCCCACAGCCTCAAATCGGCTCTGCAGGACCAAATGCAAGGGCGGGAGACGGGGCTGCCGGGGAGAGAGCTGATATTCACCTTGGAGCCTGAAGTGAATCCTTGTGGGAGAGGCCCCAGCACTCCCTGCAGTCCTGGTTTTGGCCTCGTGAGACAAGCAGAGGCCGTGGCCTGTGCACAGATGACCCTGGCTG